ATTACTCATTGAGTATAATATTTATCGATTATTTTGACAAGTTCCATAAACTTTTGAAAATGTTGAACTGAGACAATAAGGAACTTGTTCAACCATTTCATGCATACAGATTATGTGGAACATTAGATACATATTACTGTGGTTTATTGTATCTGTGAGTTTAACATGTAGTTCACTTTCTTATTTTGCATTTCAGATTGATCGGATTAATTCTTGGATTAATAATCATATTTATTAAGAAACTACATTCTACATCCACGATGAACAATTTCTTTATCATTATCACCGTCAGTTGAATATTGTTTAAGATGATATACATGATACTTTCATTTAATCATCGATTGAATTTATTGTTGATTTGTTTGTTGAATAATAAAACAATAATGTCATGTTAGTGTGATAACGGTGATGGAGATAAAAGAATGTTTGAAGGTTGACTTGAACAGATGCTTTTCAATGTTGAATTTTCAGATGTCATTATGTTAAGAGATCTAGTATCTATAGTTTCACTGATTTCATAAAAATGTTGGTGATCAGGTTAGGTCATGAGCTATTACTTAACTGATAAATGGTGAAAATAATATAACATTAAAATGTATCTGTACATGTTATGGATAATTCAGAGATATGTAGACATGGATACATATAATACTGGTACACTTTACTGTCATCTATATATGTTGATATTACTATTTGTAAGATATGGAACGAGAACAATTAAACAAATCGGATTTCTGTCATTTGAATTTGTATAATCATTCACGCACTTTGTTTATTTTTGGACTTGTGCCTAGCGATAGACAAGTCATCATTTGTTGTTCCAAGTCGCAGTCATTACTACCTGTTATAGTTGTTCGTTTATGCAAGTTAGTCAGTACTGGATGGCCTAATTAGCTTGAAAATATTTTAAATTTGTCATTATGACAGAATTAGATAGGTATTCTCTGTTGTATGTTTGTACCTATAAATATTGATTTTTCAGCATTTCAGTCGAATTCAGGAGAGTGGAGATCATTCTTTCATCATTTGTCCAGTTGTTCACCAATTCAAATTATGAGCTACTGGTGATTTGATACTACTTTTTCCCTATTCAGATGATAAATATGATTGTTGGATTTGCGCTTCTAATTTCATTTGTAAAATGGTACGAAATAATTATTTCTTTACCTGTGGCCACCGTCTTTGCCAGTTTAGCCATTTTATGGGGTGAAGAGCTACATGGTTTAGAAAGAAAATGGAGGATACTCTTGCTTACGACGTGCTGTATATTTGCAGGAATTGCATTCATTCTCTTTATCTTAGGGGTGATATCTGGAAACGTAAGTTGTTCTATTCATAGTTTTCCACAAACGTGTAGTGAATGATGATTATTACTGTTTTAATTGATAGTGGTAGGTTTCTACAAGTTTCCGTTCCTTAATTCTTGGTCGATCATGATGATTTCACATTCGTGGAATCGGTAGCTTGAATGATTTACTATACAGTCATTGACGGAACTAATTATTTGTTTAGATAACCGCCAAGCATGAGACGGAATAGGTACATGATGTCGAAATTCAGAAAAGCAGACTGGCTGATCCCGTACATGAAATGCTTCATTTTAGTTTAAGATCGGTAGGGTTAATCAGTAGAGTAATACTGTTTCTTCACTGATATTCATATAAATTCATGATGAATTGAGATGAATTGTTTTCTTTTACTTAATCTTAGAATGTCTTACAAGGTTCAGCTTGGATTTGTTGGTGCTGCGCAACGTTAATTGTAAGTTCTGCATAAATAATTAAATGTTAATGCAAATCACCGTCCGTCTATTATTGTGCACTAAAAGTTAGTGTCCTGTAGAAATTAGAACTTTGGAGCATTAGTATTTTCTATTGACATCATCCAACACAATTCATCCTGAAACATTTCTAAGAAAATATTGCGAATTGAAATGCTGAACGGCAGATAGGGAGATATTAAGTGGTGAAGTATTTATCGTTTTACTCATTTTCTTGGTTCAATGGTCCATGCCATTTATACTTCATTTGTTATGCAAGGATGTTGAGAAATTACTATCTTGATAACCCTACATCTGTAAAATGCTTATTGTTTCAGTGATACATATATTGATATGAATGCATTGATAATGAAGTAATCATCTACATTTTCATTATTATAGGTGATTATGTTTACAACATACTATCTGGACATACATCGTGAACAAGAACAGTTTTCTGATATCTTCATTATCTTCGTATTGTTTTATGAATATTTTATATTTAATGTCTGTTTGCAGTTTTCTTTATATTCAATCCTGCATTGTGATACCGGCAGTGACTACAGTCAGTGAGATAATGATTGGACACGAAGATAAGATGCTGCTCCATTGAGTGTTTTAACTGGTTTACAGATATTTATGTGAAATATTTTAAAGATCATTATAGACTATTCTGTTATCTTTATTAGATGTTCTGTTATATAGATGTTCGCCTGTTGGCGTAAATGTCTGGATTGAAAATATTCGCATAAATTGCAAACAAACATTAAAGCACATTTTTATCCTACTTGAAATTAAAACAAACCAAATTGACTGAAATGATTTGTTCGACAACCGAACTTTCCAACTACACATGTGTCATGACTATGACAAATGACTTACGTTTCACTGATTGGTTTTGTTTGTCTGATACTGTTTCAGATGGATTGTTTTCATCGGACAACCGGACATAATAAAACGACTTCATTTCAGCTACAAGCACTCAAAGAAAGCTTCTTCACTTATAAGTATCATCAAATATCTTTCGAACTCGACGTTCATTGTTTGTCGTTGACCGTAACTTTCTATTGTCTCCCCTTTTAGTCTGAGCTCACCCCCCATGACGCCTCAGTTTGATAAAGTTTACTAATTTCAGTATGATCAGTAACTGCTAATTGACCTGGTTGAAAAGCTTTTTGAAAATTCACTAATTATTCTTGTTTATGTTCTGTCTAACATATCATTTTTTAACAAGTTGAACAAGTGTCGAATTCTGTAGACTTCCATTGATATCAGTGAATACTGATCGTGGCACTTGATAGTTATTTGAATTCCATACAGAGAAAAAGGAAGAGTGGATAGTTTTGTCTGTTGTTATGCTCCCCATAGTTGTGTAGTTTATTGTTGTAAATTAAATCTGCCTCTTTGTTTTTCGTCTCTGAAGTATTCGAAATCAATGGATTGATTTGAAAGAGTTTGTTTGTTTATATATTGAGCTACTGGAAAATCATTTTCGTCGACAAACGTTCGTTTGTTGGTTTCTTCATTCAATTTCGTGCCAGTTATTAAGTACAATAACAGTCGTTGATGGCATTTGCGAAAATCTGTCTTGTTCGTGTACATTTATTTGATTGGAAGCAGACACGAAAAGAATGATTAGCAACTGGAAATAGCTGCTCACGAGAGCGTTGGATGGGGAACGCTGGTGTGTGGCCTTTCTTCCTCAACGGGGAGAATAGGCCTAAGTAAGTAACACTAAACTAGTTGAACGGATTGGTTACTATCTGTAGTTGGAATTATCTTGTCTATACAGGTGAAAACTGACTTATCAACAGGGTACTACATCCAAGTGGTTTGAAACAAGATAATTAAAGCGTTATCTTTACCAGTGGCTTGGGAAAGACTAAACATTGACGTTCTCCTACGTCACGAACGTTACTCGAAGCCTTCAGACGCTTTGACATAAAGCCTCTTTGAATTTAATATCTGACACACTTGATATCACATCTACGATAATTGCAATTTAAGAAATTCCTCTACATTCGAAAACCTTCAAAAAATTAGACACTAATTTTGTAGTACGACTTTCCAATACCACAGGTGATAAACAGTTTGAAAAATCAAATCTCCTCCTTACAGGTTATTGTGAAGTTACAGCTAGTTTTACATGAGCGTTTGGTCTCTTGTCGAACGACTACAGTGCTTAAACGTTTTGTCCGCTTGAATCATCAAGTATTAGTCATTGTTTGCACAACCAATATAATAATGGCTTGTAGCACCGTTTATGTGCAGCCGGTGTGAGTTCGTTGGACACAATGTGATACCACTATTGCAGATATCACATAACATTTCATCATCGACAGGGAAATAGTATGCCGGCCTCCCACAACGGGGTTTCAATTGTTGTCCACGTTTGTGCCAACTTCGTCGCCAAATTTGCGATTACGAGTTCACCTAGTCTGCGAAGAGAAAAAAGACTCTCTGACCAAAGACCAATAAGCTGGCTATCCTGATGCGTCCCGGCTCTGCTAGCTAAAGAGTGGAGTCCACGTTCGAACGTGGAAATATATTCTGATATCAGGCAGAAGCACGAGCGATCCCGACAAGTCTAATCGGAAATACACTCATTTATATATTGGTTTGTACACCCATTTCTGAACAATAATCAGAATAAATCACATATATGGAAAATAATTCACACAAGAATATCGTATGTTATTCAGAATACGATCTCAAAGGTGAAAACGAAACAAATGCTATACTCCGTTATCATCAGATTGAGTTAAACGGAATTATTGTTGAATAAAAATCGTAATGAGAGCATCAATCTGATTTTAACATTTCAGCCCATGGTAACATGTTGTATTCGTCGAATGTATCAATAGTTTGGAGTAATAGCCGGAAGTAGACTTCAGGTTTTCATCACGAACTGATATAAACTATAATGCCGAAACTCTATTAAGCCAAATGGATGAATGATTTTTGCGCCCGAATCCGACACCTCTTATCTTAGACCTGATTGGTTCGTTCATGAATTATATTTTTGTCCATCACTCACTTATAGATGTCGATCTCATCTTTGTATTATTAGAACCCTATTGTCGTAGTTGACTAATCGTCTTTGGCGTTTGCTTATTTTTATTTAAAAGAAAAGGCTTGTTAGCTTTAAACAGATTCATTTACTTAATGATTTGTTTAACTAAATAAACTAATATGAAATGTTACAATGCTTAGTCTTATGAAGGCAACCAAATTATCAAAATTATTTAACACCATACAAATGATTAGCTTCTCGTAATCTGTTCCATGGATTTGTATGTATCTTTTTACCATCTGGCCAAGTATATGTTTGTGCATACTCTGATTGTTCCATTTTATTCAATTCATATTGTTTGATAGAACCATATCCGTCTAGTTTACTTTCTGAATGTGGATTAATTTGATAGCCTGGTTTACATACACGTAGTTGACCATGATTTGTTAAAACTTCTGATACACAATGACTTGGTTTTGTGAATGTTGAACGAGTTTCTGACTCACCAGGATACTTGATACATATTCCTGCTTGTTCCTGTGTTTTCGGGAAATGAAAGTAGGAGAGGATAAGGAAACTAGTTAATTTCAAGTTGACGTTTTATACTATTAAAACCGAGAGGTGGTTAGTCATATAAAATCTGGAATCGGATATATATCCTAGATTCGATGTTCCTTATAACTGACAGACTCCACAACAACAGCTAGGTTTATTCAGTATCATAGTGATTAAAGAATGCGAAACCGAACGAAGAAATACTCAGTGTTTCTTCAACATCTTTGAAAAGTTTGATTAACGAATGTGCCTGGTCTTGTTTTGTAGATGACTGACTAAATTAACAAATGTTCAGGGAAATACCTGAATTGTTGATGACCATTAAACTTTGTTCTGATTTGTTTCACAGCTTTTATTTGATTGATCTGAAGCATCACAAGTTATTTGATCGTAATTATGAATAATTAATCGTGAAGTAATACAAAGTCTTTTCTCTTGACTAAAATCGAGTTGATATACCCATAACTATGCAAATTGTGATGTTTTCAGATAAATCACAAAATGTAATTCATCTTATTGGCGAAATTGATTAATGACCGATTTCATCACTTTGTGAACATTGAACTCTGGCTTCATCTATTTGTTCAATAAACCAATGTACTATACCGCCATATGAGTCTACAGTGGAAAAGAGAGTGTTACTATTTGTGAATGTAACACTTAAACAGCTATTGTATCGATGAATGATGCCCGTTCAGAAATCATATTATTTGTTGTAACAGTATAAATAACCACCGAGGAAATCCAAGATTCTTTTAAGCAGAATACAAAATTAATAAGTGATTAGTGAAAATGTAAATGACAATTTATCCTCTCACAACAGTCAGTCGTTTCAGATTCCTTTACTTAGATTGGATTCGAAGTCGTCCTTTACATACAGTGAATGTTATAGGTATTCAAGACAACAACTTTCTAGTGTTAGGATTCAACTAAACTATGTGATGTACCTAACCCTTGCTTTGTTAAGAATGACCACCTACTCGGCGAATATATGCATTGTTTTGGCGGCTAAGCTCAATAAATACATATTATGTATTTCATCTCATGACGTTATTCTTGAACGATACAAATCTATCTAGAAAACTTTGAACGCGGAATTTCTCTTATTCACGGTTACAGAAGACGTCAAACAAATACCAAACTATCTTGAATTGTGTGATGAATTTTAGTTTCGTTTTCTTTACTGAATGTAGGTTCATACACTGATATTGAAGGGAACCTGGTTTTGTGAGCGATAATCCCACTATCCACCTTATTAGACAGGAGAGCGGTCGGAACTTCTGACTGAATAAATGGGTTCCAAATCCTTAAGATAACGAAATTCATTAAAACAAAAAGATGTTCTTTTTTTCTCAGAGAAATATTTCACGAATTGTAGCATGACTGTAGTCTACAAGTTTTAATAGACCTACCAGACAAGAGTGCTTACTCTCTCCTTTTCCTTTTCTCCTAGTTGTCGACTGAATTATGGAGACCTTGACATGTGAGAAGAAACACGGAATACAATGTACAACTCGGAATCACCGGGGAGATTTTGACTTTGCAGATGACCTAACTCTTCTATCCCATGCACACGTGTAAGTGCAAATGAAGACGGCTAGTGTAGCTGCAGTCTCCGCACCATTAGCCCACAATATACACAAAGGGAAAAGCAAGATCCTGAAATACAACGAGGAAAACACTAATGCAATCACACTTGATGGAGCAACGCTGAAAGAGGTGGAAATATTCACATACCGGGTCAGCCGCACCATCTATAAACGTAGAGCATCTGATGCATATGTGATGACGAAGAATAGCATTCGTACAATCAAAGAACAAATGGAACTCAAAATAAGTGAACTGAAGTACACCTAGTTCCTAGCACCTCTTTATCTGACTCCAGTTAGATCGTTTATGATGGTTATTGAAATAGACATTTCGCTAGCAGTCGTATATAATTACTGACTTAATTCGTTTTAGTGAGAACCGAAATAAGCCGAGCCAAATACGAGAACGAATTTCGAATACGTATATTTCACAGAATTGCTGGTCCACATAAACGAGCAGAGAAACGAACCGAGGAGAAGAAATGCAAGCGAAATGACACGCAGCGAAAAAGCCGTGTGAGCGAACTCAGTTTAATCATGCGTTGATCTATATTTATAGCCAGACAAAAATAAGCTACAGACATTTGATGAGTACAAAAAGCAATACACGCACATTTGCTCATCTAAACACAGTCAATTTTGATGAACGAATATCTGGCAATGTCAGTATGTGACCTAAGAAGGATGAAAAAATTGGCTTGCCTGGAAGCCAGAATAAGCTTTGTATATAATTATATATGAGAGTTCGACCTGAAGAAGATACCAGTACGATCAGTGTGTGTGTATATACAACCATGACCAATACGTGAACAGACTGTGACTGTGAAAATTCCTATTATGATGGATACTTAGAATGAGTTGAAATGACAGTTGTGTTTTGTTTTTAACGGATTTTACTGAACAGTTATACAACATTGTAAGGTTTAATTTGAAGTCGATATTACGAGTGTGAAATTCCTTTACTTCCCATTCCAAACTAAAGAAAAGTGAAGAATGAATGTTCATAGTATTCTTATTTCTTTTTGTCTAACCTTCACCGAAGTTTTCGATCACACCGAAGTAAAAAAAACGCAACGAAGTCCACAATATCGCTATTTCTCGTTTTTGTTTTCGGTTTTCACAAAGTTTCAAATGCTTGATCATTAATAAATCAAGTAACACTTCAATGTCAACTTCTATTCCATTTGAAGTTCGAATTGATGTTTTGTGTTGTTTATGGACTTTGTGTTTTGTAACTGTGAACACAGTTAACGAATTTTATTACCACTTATACAAGTTGTAAATATGCGAACATGATAGATGCTTATAGTTATAAGCGGTTTCAATGTTTTGTTTCATCATGGTTTCTTGATGTTTAGACATATGGCTGAGGGTTATCATAATCTGATAATCCAATGCAATGAACTGATTCATCATGTTCCAGATGTAGATCACGATTCTAATGGATTCTTAATCAAAGTCACTGTGTGAACAGTCTGAAAATGCAAGATCACTAGTCAGAACTGGTTTCCATTCCACTCACTTTCGGAATTCCAGGTCAGGGATTGCCTTGTGATGAAGTTTCATGATTTTCACAATAAACGCCCGTTCCGTCTTCAACGTGTCTTCTTAACTACCCCTTCAAATAGGAGTTTCTTCGTTCTCTGTTACAATAGGTTGTTCGTTATTGTATAGGACCAACGGAGATTGTGTATCTTGAATAGACAACTGTTTATAGATACCCGTATCAATTTGACGATGGTTGTGGTAGTTCTCGAAAATTCAGCTTCATACGACAAAACAGTATTGACGTCTGAATTGAAGATTCTGGATTTCGATGTTGGTTGACAATTGTTTTGAATTCCAAATGTTCCTCAGTTGTAGCATCTTCATCCTAGATTTGTCAATTTGCACCTTCACACCTCCATTAGATGTTGCCGGTTCATCGATGCTAGTGTTTAGGTACGTGAAACTTTCCACATCTTCCAGAGCTTCTCCATCAAGTGTGAAGGATGTAGATATTCGGGCCAGTAACCTGCTAGTCTTATTATCCAACAAACGTTTGTAATGTACCTATCCCTTCCTTTGTTAAGAAAGACGTTTATGTTCAAGCTAATTATTAACATATATACACAGTTTGTGTCAAGCGATTTTAATTTTTCGTCTACTCTCCACTGTTAAAACGCCTGTTCATCTAAAACCATGTTTTTACTCTTATCACTACTAATACACTTGACATCTTACTACCGATTAGTATGTTTTACGATCCGCTACCTAATCTGTCCGATGTTTTTCAATCAGTTGTCATTGATCATAGGAAGACAAATAGTTTACTATTTGTTATTTGAACTTCAAAGGAGTTTTTTCTATCTAAATATCTAACATGAAATATGTATATAGTCAACGGAATTAACTAGCTAACATTGCGTCTATTTCAGTTTAAAAATAATAAGCATTTATTTTATGATGGGTGTATTTGTAAAAACGACACAAGCAAGTGGCCATCAGGACTCAGTAGCTTAATGAATATCGCGATGGTTTTCAAAGAGAACGGTACTGGGTTCAAGTTCAATAGTGAACATCAACTCTGAGATGCAGATATATACAGCTGACGAGTCCCACATAGAATGAAGTGGTTTCGATTCCACTGTTAGCCACCATCCATCTCTACTTACAATGCTAGTTACTGAACATAACAGTGAGACAATAAGCACAATATCCATACATGCTAATAAGAGTTTGACCGATCGCAATCCTTAACATCAATGGGAAGATTCAAGTAAACAGTACCATTTAAATTTAATGTTACTTTTATTTCGTACAACTTTTCTCTTTTGTAAACACTTGAATGTAGAAAGGAGAAGTGTCACAGCAAATGAACTTGAATTTCATGGGTTCTCTGTGATCTGCTTAAAACATAAAAATATATTATTATTCATTAAAACGAAACACGTTTATATAACACATGACATCGGAAACGTCTAGGATAAATTGAGTTCACATTTTGCTACAGTTAGTTAAGGTCTACTGAATATTCCATTGGACGTAGTTGTGATATTATCATATCAGTTGATGGGAATTCTCTTACAGTACCGATTGTTCAAAACATGTTGATTGTCTGAGTGACATGAATTGTATGTGTTCATTTGAAGTATTCATAGGGTATTGAGTAAACTTTCTATGCTGTACATCAACTCGCGTGCTTCCCACATGTGACAAACAAAAATGGTGCATATTAAATTTGACAAGATGAAGGTTTATCAAGTGTAAAATTATTCTTCAGTACGAAACCTCATCTCTGATGGATTTCACGTCATGCTAAAGTCTAGCTGAAAACTGTTTTGTTTTGGACTCAACAGAATGAACCTCATTATTTGAAATGCTACATAATGCATGAGGGAATACTTAACTAGTGGTTAACTTCCACGTCCAGTTCTTAAGCTGAATTAACTTAAGCTGACTATTCATTCGTTAGATAGAATAGTCAGTTTGTCATTAGAAATGGTTGAATTAGTGAATGACATCATAGAACAGGTTAGTTATTAAGAAAACTATCTCACTTGTTTTATTCAATCACATAGTTTTCTAATAAATTTGTACTTACGTATTCATTTCTACGTTGATCAGCGCATGTTCTCTTACGAATTCGTAGTGCACGATCATCTGCAGTGATTAATTCTGTACCATGCCATGTGAACTATCAGTTTGACTAAGTGACATCACTCAGCTTTCAACCACTTTGTTTAGAGTGATCTAATGAGTGAACTGTTTTCGTGAGTAATCAAGCACATCATCACTCAAGTAAGTCAAGTTGTGACATGTAGAAAAATTCAAATGTTCATATACAGCGATCACATATACAATTGTTCAGCCTACATACAAAGAACGAATAGTTTAGCGGACATCAATAATGTTCTGACGGTGCTTCGTCTGACGTCAATAATCTGTAGAGAAGTCATTCTACTATTGAACACATAAGTACAACAAGATCATTTTCATTTCAATGTGCTATCACTCATTCATCCCCAATCAACTAACAGTTAA